TATTTCTCTAGTGCCTCCTTTTCTGTTCTTTCTTTCTTACTCCTTGTGTGAAAATGAAGAAAGAATTTCAGTTTGTATATATTCATAAATTCCCGTGCGGCCTAAATTACATGCTGTGGCGTTCAGACTTACATACAGTCTAGAAAACATTGCCCATAAGAGGTGAGATTGCTTCTGCTTTGTCAAGTACAAAAATCAAAACGTTTCCCTGTTTGAAAAACAAACTCTAGGCTAGCTGACAACTTTGTGGCTGATTTTCAAAGTGCTCTTTCTTTGTTTCATGCCTCACGCACGCCTAGACAGTTTAAAAATGCTAATAAACCTCTCTTGGAATTGGCAATTTTTTGCATCCAAATGCAAAGTGCCACCTAGTGGTTAATATATGGATAAAATGTATATGTAAACAGAACTTTCCAGTACAAACCCGGTGCTGCACATCTTCATAGATGAGGAAGCACATGTAGGTAAGCAAACTTGTTGTTCAAAGGCTAGGTGTCAGATAGCAGGGTGATGAATGTGGTGGCAGTACTTATGTACGCTGAGAAATATGAGAAAATGTAGTTTATAGTCTGATATGTTTCCTTTTATTATGAAGTATCTGCAAACACATCGCAAGCATTAGAGACCAAAAGTTCAAATAAAGTAAGTGATCTTATTGAAACTAGCTAAAAATACTATCTGCAATATCATCTGGAGGAAAAGGGGGGAAAAGCAGTAGAGGAGTGACACTATGGCCATACTTTGAACAAGTCGTTGAGCAAAGGTTTTTTGGGAAGATTGATTGTTTCCCTGGATATGCTTTGAATGACACACTAGAGGAATAAATGATGCAAATGAAGAGATTGAAAAGTGATTGGTACATGTAAGGTGCAGGAGTGTTCTCGGAGACACCACAGAAATAGGGATGAAGAACAGGGGGTTTTTGCCCTTGCTAGCTTTATTCATTACTTTGTTAGCTTCATAGGTAAAGGAGAAAGTAAGGAGTACAGTAGTAGAGATGCACAGAAAAACTTGAGGAGCTAACACAGATCAAGAGCTGGACTGGTTTTACATGTGTACACATCAGAATGAAAGGACAAAAACATTCAAGGCTTGAGAATTTATTGAAGTAGAAGGCAAACATAGAGACTAAATCCATTAGTGAACATTAAAAACAAAAAAAGTACATTAAAATACTTTTAGGTACTTAGAATATTTTTTAAAATTATAAAGAAAGTTGCAGAAATTCCATGAAATAAATTGAAGTAATTAAGTCTTATTTAAAATGCGAGATATTTTCTGTAGAATTATTGGTAAAATTGTTACTAGAACTCAAAACCTTATTTAAAGCTAAAAATAAAAACATTTTGTGTCTTACTTGATTAATATCCTTTGGAGGAAGTAGAAAATGGGCTTACATATGTGGGAGATGAGTAAAATTTCCAGAGAAAAAGAGTGTACATAACGATCTTATGAAATGCAGCAGTGGTGGATGACAGTCCAGAAATCCTAACACTGAATGAATTAATGGCTGGACAGAGAGTAGTAGACAGTGAGTAGAGAGGAGAATACCGAGCTTGATGAAGTTAGGTGTTCTATGTGCAGGAAGAGACACATTTAACATATCATTTATTGCACTTTCGTTTTTCCAACAGTATAGGTATTTATGGCACTATTGGCTGCTCTGTAGTCACTGGGGAGAAACAGGCAATTGTTGAGAGCAATTAATCTGGCCTATTTTCATGTGAAGTGAATCATTCTCTGTCACACTGACAATATTGCATATGTCATTGTTGGAAAATGATACTGTGGTGGGTAAAGAGCAGTATCTACTCAAAGACCTGTGAAACTCACCAACATCTCTGGTGGTGCCACATTTTGAACTTCCAAGATCAGTAGGAAATTAATTGCTAGTTTCAATTTTGCACAATTAAACTCATGCTGTACAATAGAGATAGGTTATTGGGATGGAAGAGGCAAATTGATGCAAGTGCAACTTGTTAATTGCATCCCACCTCTGCATAAGGGAATGTTTTGCTAAAAGAAGATGTATGACTGCAATATTGCCAAATATCTGTAGTAATAAGAGGAGGAGAAAATGAGGAAAGGTGTGATTTGAAAGCCTAGAAAAGTGCTGTTTTATTGTTTAAAAGTTGTACTTCTGGCAGCCTCTACCAGCACACCACTAACACCATCATTTCAGCATTCAGCCCTAGGCTGGTTTTCAAAAGTACACTGTAGTCATTCAGTGACTATAAATGCCTTTAGGACATTTCAGCAGTTTTCTCAGATTTCCTGTACCATAATAAATAAGCCTGTAAATATACATAAATTGAGGCTTAATGTTCTTCTTGAATTCTGATGACTGCCACTCAAGTTTCACTCTCACGATTGTTGATGCATTCGAATGTAGTCTAGATGAAGGAAATACATCTCTTATATTATTTCATCCATTTGATTTAAGGAGTCTGAAAAAGTGTAATTCTCTCCTATGCTGTAGATGCCTGTAAAATCCTAAAATACTGAGGAAAAACTGATATAAAAAAAATACCTATTTTTCAGAAAACACTACTGACTTGTAATGTTTTGAATGTCAAAAACTTGTATACTGATTTCCTTCTTGCAAGCTAGCTTTGAAGTCTGGTATGATTCGTGTTGATTAATTTTAGTGGGAGAGGACTTGGACCTCAGTTTTTCTGTATAATGTTTCCTGGAATTGAAGCTTAAATAAGTTTTGTGCCTTTTTTTTTTTTTTTTGTAGAAAACATACCAGTGGAGCTTTGAAGTCCATGTTGTTCAGCTGCCTTCTTAGCAAAACATTAACTCAGTCCCTATAGCGGCAAAATAGTAGCAAAATATAGTAGCAAAAATTTATAAAGGCATCTGAAATAAAGACCTCATCTCTGACAGGCTGAGAAAGTTGGGGCTGTGCAGCCTGGAGAAGAGAAGCTGCGTGGAGACCTCATAGCAGCCTTCCAGTATCTGAAGGGGGCCTACAAGGGTGCTGGGGAGGGACTCTTCATTAGGGACTGTAGCGATAGGACAACGGGTAAGGGGTTTAAACTTAAACAGGGGAGATTTAGGTTGAATATAAGGAAGAAGTTCTTTACAGTGAGGGTGGTGAGGCACTGGAACAGGTTGCCCAAAGAAATTGTGAATGCTCCATCCCTGGCCAGTGTTGAAGGCCAGGTTGGACCATGGCAGGGGGTTGGAACCATCTTAGGTCCTTTGGATTTGTTGGAACAATCTTAAGGTCCTTTCTAACCCTAACCATTCTATGATTCTATGAAATGTCTGCAAACTACTGTAGCAAATCCACCATTATACAGAGAATATATTGAACAAAAGGGAAAATTAATGAAAGTCTTCAACTTCCATGATTGTTCATGAACACTTTAATGACTCATCTCTACTCTCACTTGTTATTGGAAATGGTGATGAACTAAGAAGGTCTGAAGTTGCACGAGATGCTAATTATTCTTGTGTACTCCAGGGCTTGTTTATGCTGGCTCTGGTGGTACGTCCGTCAAAGCCAAAAGGCTTTCATTTTGTCACTAGTCCTGAGTGCTGGCAGATGAAGAAAATAGTTTCTTTGTCTTTCTGATTACTTGTATGTCACATTGTTGATGTTGTTTCTGGCTTAAAAACAACTGGAAAGGAAGCATGACCTGAATTGGCTGAGGTAAACATTCTTTTACTTTGCATAAGCCATGGTGTTGCATCATAGAGAGTTGGACTTGATTTTGATCCAGTACTGCAACTCAGGAAATGCCTAAACACATTTGAATTCTGTTGACTTCAAAGGGTGTGAAGGTGACTTGCTCAGATGCAAACCTCTCAAATTTATATACAGATGACCAAGTAAACATCAGCTTAGAAATATCATTACTAATGCTAAAAGAAAAGCCACAAGTGCTAGAAGGGAGTACAAGGCGGATATGTAAAATGGAGTGCACATAAACTCATGAGTTAATTCTTAAATGTATGAACCAGCTGTGGGGGCAGACACACTAGAAAGGACATACTCTGCATGATCATCAGGGGAAATAGGAGTGTTTATGAATTTCAAATGTATCACACTCTGAGTCAGTTTCTAAAAACATTAATTCAAGAGATAAGGACCAGAAACCTGAAAAGAGTGAATTGCCAATGGGGACAAGCTGTGGAATACAGCTAAAAAGAATGTCACTCTCACAGTTCCTTGTCCTGAGTAAGTCTCCCTTACCCTAAGGTAAGGACAAGGAACTGTCTAGGAGGCAGAGTTACTAAATGAACCAAAGCAATTAGGCCTCTTCAGGTAACTGGAGAATTTGACAAACTGAGGTTAGTCACAAAGCAATTGATCAAATAAGGATAGGATTGATTAGAGTAAATACAAATACAGTCTAGACTGTATAAAGAGGGCTCTGTGGAATTGATGACCAAATGCAGAATTTACCCCATAGTCCTTGTCTAATCTTTTTTAATCTCCAAACCCTATTCTTGCTACAACAAAGAGGAGAGATGATTTTTTAAGTCCATGCCTGTTCCAAAAATGTTCCAGTCATAGAATCATAGGATCACAGAATGGTTAGGGTCATGATGTGCTCCTGTTGTATTTGTGATGCTGACTCCAACAAAATTCTTAAATATTTCTCTGTGATGTTCAGTCTGTCTGTTACTGCAGATAAAAGAGTTCATTTGCACTGTGATGAAAAGATTCTCAACATTTTGGAATTTTTAATAATCCGTATTAATAGAAGTTATTTTTTAACATTTTTTACATTCTCTTCCCATCAAAATGACAGTATTTTGCAAATAATATATTAACTGACCTAAAAATCAGCTGGTTAATCACCAGACTCCCTTATGATTCCCTTAACAGTTTCATAGAAAATACCATCTCTGCACCTTTCTTTAAGAGTCTAATCTTTCTTGAACTACTCATCCAAAGCTTCCACCACGACTTTATAAGGTAAATACAGTAGGGTGATACAGACAATACTGGGTTTTTAAGTCTGTAACTGCTGGTTTTGTTTCAGGATGTGTTGGAGTTTGGGATAACATCACCTGTTGGCGTCCTGCGAAGATTGGAGAGACTGTCACTGTCCCTTGCCCAAAAGTATTTAGCCTTTTTTCTGGCAAACCAGGTATTTCGTTTTAAGGTGGCTTTTTTTGCTGGCTTCTCTTTGATGTTTTATAACTTACTGTGCTAAAAATGTCTTATTAGCAGCTTAAGGTTTTTATTTTCTTTTTAAAGAGTTAAAATAACAGATTCTTAATAGAGCTGTTCATGATACACCACAAAAAGACCAAATTATTGTCTGTGTAGTCTGTATGGTGTTTTTTGAATCAGATACTAAGTATGTACTCTAATGTAGTGACTCTCATCAAAGCTAAAGACATTGCTTACTCTTTTTGACCTATTTGTGTTAATTATTAACACAGCTGAGCCTGACTGACATCTTTAATAGCTGTCAGCAGGTCACATGCAGTTTGTTCCGTCTCTGCTTAGGAGGGGAGCTCTGCCTTGCCTTCATGAGAATAATGAACTAACATTAACACATAATACCTAAAAATTATCACTGTTGTAATTTAAGGTTGTTACTATGAAACCCTTTTTTCCGCTTTTTGGTGGATCTGAAAAGGGCTCATTAGTGTCTCAGATTGTTGAAATATTTAACTGTTTTAAGTCTAGAATCTTCTGCACCATCTTGTCCATACATCATATTGTGGTTTAATTTTGTAACTTTGGCTTGTTAGTGGGGCTTTAAAAATAGATGAGGCACACATGGGGTTTCACATTGATATCTCAAAATGCAGCAGGAAAAATCTTATCCCTGTTGCTGAGGTGAGAAACCTTTGTCATGGAGAGCTGGTGAAAGATGCAAAAATTATCACAGTGATTTAGTTCTGCCTTTGAGGTCTCTGTGGAGAGCTTTTTAACAATACTACTTTTAACATAGAGGCTAACTTGGGGTGTGGCTAAAATACCTTTATTCTTAATACCGTTGATTAAGCCTTGTTCCAGTAAAAAGTAGATAACTAAAACGATGTATGGATGAGCAAAGATTTTCATTCCTGGAGATGGTGAAACTTGAATTAGTTTACCGTGGATAGTCTAAGCAGTTTATAGTGGGGAAAGTGTGTGTAATCTTCACTAGATCTTGTGAAATCTATAAAAGTATTAAAATGACTCAGATGAAGACAGTAAGGTGTTTTCATGAGACGAGGCAAACTAAAAAAATATCAAAAATATAAAATCTGAATTAAATCAAACTGCTTCTATTTGCCAGAAGTCAGAGCATGTGCACTCTTTCTGGAGATTGGATGTTTGGTTTAACAATTTTTAGTATCTTTCAAAACATTTTAATTTTCCTATTAAAAAAGGGCCATAAATCATTCTGAAACCTTCACAATACCTTACAACTCTATCTCACTTGGGCATGGTGTCTTCAAGACTGAAAAATCTTCCTTTTTATAGTTTGCTATAAATTTCCATATACATCTTTTTTATAGCTACCTGTTTACTTCTTGCTTTTGGAATGAACACAGTAGTTTTTTAGAGGTACTTATGCAATTAAGAGGATTTTTTAAATCTTGTATTTCTAAAATTTCAGAGAAGGAAGACAACAAGCTGCTTGTTTTAGTTAAGATTAAATAAGCATCTCAGCACCTTTGTAATTTGATTATACTCAGGAATATATAATTTATTTAATTTATTCACTTGGTTCTTATGGCAGGAAATTATAACAATATTGTTAAACAAGAAATCTGACTGTTTAGCCAATTTTGTGGAATGTATGTTTTAGGTTTCTCAAGGTTTTAAGAGGAATTAAAATTCTAATGCAAGATGATCTAGACTACCTTATTTTTTATGGACATGTTCCAAATCACAAGTAGGCTTTTAAATATCATCAATTTTTTGAAGGATTTCTTAATTTAAATTGTGACTTTAAAAAAGCAGCTGTTTTTTCATCTTTAAAACTTCTGGAGAACTGGCTCTTAATTTTTTCTGTGATGGTCCAGGTTATAGTTTAAACATCCCACTCTATTGAATAGTAATAACTTCATATTAAATTACTTTTTACTGTAAAAGCAGTCATGTTATCCTGTAACAGTTTTTCTGTATTGCATATGATGATGTAAGTATATGAGTATCAGGAAGTTACTCTGTGAATTTTTTATTCAAACGTGTGTCAAGTTGTAGGTTTAAAATGAGGTTGCCATCTGAAATACTTAATAGCATGAAGCAATGGTGTAGAAATAAACAATGTCTTCCATAGAACATTGCCTAACTGTCTTTAAGTTAGAAGGCCTTTATAGTACTTATAGTAGAAAATACTTCAGCATCTTGAGTACGTAGCATCTTTTTCTTGCAAAACTGGCTTTGGTGTAATTTGTGGTTCTGTTAACGTACTCCTCTGCTCTGCCTGGTCAGAGAATCTTGACATACTTTTAAAGTAAAGATTCTTCAGTGTCTATAAATAGGTTACATTTTCTGTAAAAAATGCCATGTCTGTGCCAAATGCCAAAAGTGGTCCTGTTGTTTGAGGAAACACTGTGGTTTGAGGTCACGGCCTTGTTATAAACTAGGCAGATTTGGTTATTGGTTGGTCAGTCATTTATTGGGTATTTACAACTTTTCGCGAAAGACTTTGCGAAGAAGAATTTCCAGTAACCAATCAGCAAGATAAAAATCACAAAGGCTTTAGTTTGGAGTGTATATAGACACATCTGGTTATTCTTGGCCAAAGTTGATCTGTGACACATAGATTTGTTCTTGTGTGTTGACAACCAGGCATCTTTATGTCAGTTAAAGACCAATGGTAAACCCCAAACAAAAGCAGTATGATATTAAAGATTTCAGCTATCATGGATATAGAAATTGCTCTAAGAAAGTTGAGGCCAAGTTGCTTAACACTGTAAGTGTAAATTACAATTATTTTAATGACTAATCTTTATTCTGACATCAGACTTTCCAGTTTTCTCCAATGGAAGCTATTCCATATTGTATGAACATTACTTTGAATTAATTAGATTAAGGAGTAGAATCATGGGTTGCCCCATCTCACCTGAGTGACTTCATCTGGGAAAAGAGTCAACTTCTCTCAGTTCCGACCAAAAAAACCTTTCTGAAGTTAATAGATGTTCAAAATTCCTTTCCAACCATCCTTACACATCCCTGTACGTCCCTTGGACTACATTGTTTCGGTGGTTCAAAGGGTGGGCTTCAGCATGAGTATTTATTTTTCATTCTTCTAACTATCACATAATTTGGCCTTTAAAGTGCATTACCAACTCTACCAACATTTGCTGTAGGAGTAATTCATCACCATGGCATACAAAAGCTTTTATCATTCTTCAGTAGATGATTTGGTGTTACTTTCTCAGAAAAGCTTAAAAAGTTGGTTAGAACAGCTCTTACTTAAATTGCTTTTCTATATAATTACTCTACCTACAAATTGTCCCCTTTATAGAGTAAGCTGAAAGGCTCCCTCTGGAATACTTTAGATAAATCAGCAAAATATTTAACACTGTTGCAGCCATAACAGAAATAGCTGTTATACAAAGCAGAAGCCTGCCATCACAGCTTGGAATTACTTGTGGTTTTCTCTAATGCAAAAGCAACTCCAAGCATGAGTAAAAGCCAAAACAGTACGAGTGAAGGGCACATGAATAAAATGGCTGGGTTCCTTTAACAGGATTGCTCAGAAATACAGGATGTTAATGGAGAATGACAAAGTTGTCTAAAAACTCATTGATGAGACTTTTGAATATTTCTGATTTTAATGCTCAAATTTTGCTTTGCTTACAGGAAATATTAGCAAAAATTGTACAAGTAATGGATGGTCAGATATTTTTCCTGACATCTTAAGTACTTGTGGATATAATGACTATGAAGATGATTATAAGGTAGGAAAAATACTTTTTCTATTCATGTAGATACCTGTGTTCAATACAGCTATCAGACATACGACATACTCTGCTTCTAAACAGTTATCATTTTCCTCAATCAGAATTAATGAAAATCTGTAGTAATTTTTGGTAGCAATTGCCATGTGCTTGGATTGCAAATGCCATATAAGATACAATTTGAATGTAGAATTCAGTAACTGTTTGAAGCTCAAGGCTGTAATAATGCATCTGTATTTCTAATACTGCGGTATAACTTGGCTTGTGCACAGTATGATCTGCTTTGTGTTCTTTCTAGAAGTTTGTTACAACAAATCCTAATGCTGTACTAATCTGTTAGTAATACAGGCACCACTTGCTTCCTAGTATGTGTTTAAGTTATAAGTAACGTAGAATGTATTTAGGTCATTGGAATTATTGTAGATTTATATGGGGCTTTAAATTACGTTATAAATTAGAAGTAGCTCAAAAAGCTATCAAGATATCTTAAATACACTATAAATGGAAAAATGAATTTGTTCACTTTGCAGATACTGTCTCTTTTTCTTTTTTTGAGGGAAGTACCTTTTCCTATCACGTTTTCCCTATTTCCTGGTTGTTTTCTTGCTAAAGTTAACAGAGTTAACTCTGTCTGGGAGACAATACAAAAAATGCGAGTATTATTCAGTTGTGAGATTTCAGGAGGCATTTGAGGTTCTGCATGAGCTAACTGTTACATAGAAAGATGTTCTCTTGATTTTGGATCTTAGTACTCAGTGGTAGCACCTGAAAGGAAAAAATCTTTACTTAACATTAATCAGAGTAATTCATTTTTGTTTGCCATAGAGTTTCAACAATAAGAGCTAAAAATGAAATCTTCAGTATTTGGATACAAAATATTTTGGACACAAAAATGCCATACAACAATATGCTTTGCTGATGATGTATAAGGTTGCCCTCAAAGTTATAGTAACTAAGGAGATTACATTTTAGGTAGGGTGGCAAAATACTTTTTAAGTTTTCTTCTGCATGCAGAAGACAATGTTAAAGGAGTAGGTAGAAACTGTGGTGTCAGCTTGGTGCCTGCGTCTTCACTGCTGAATGAGTTTCCATTATAGATCCAATTAAGTATTTATTCCTGGGTTTTCTTGCTGTCTTTTAGGATATGGACCTGTGTCTTTACTTCAAAGGGGACTTATTTTTATACATATTTTATATTTATTTTTATATATGCATGCACACAGACATGTATATCTTTCCAGATATGCATCTACTGGGGCAGTTTTGAATATTCTAGAACAGGTCTAAATGATAGAGATTGATGAGCAGATACTGAACGGGCAATTTATTAATAGGTACCAAGTTTTTATGCAGAAAATGCACTGAAATGAGAAAGCTTATTTAAAAATACCATAAGCATGTCATCTATTATTTTTCTGCTGAAAGAACTTGTCTGCTTCCATAGCTTGCATTGATTTTACTCAGAGTTAAAACAATCAATTTTTATTCCATGTCAAGTGGTCTATTAGCAGGTTCTATAAAAAGAAATAATTTGCTTAACATTTTGAAATTAGCTGTAAGTTCCTGATACACCACCTTAAACTGAATGATTTATGTTAGGTCTTCTGTTAGTATTCTTTAGTGCTTCTGCCTGCGTTTGTAGGGGACCAATTTGACAAGTACGACAGTGTCTGAACAAGCTATCTTTATGTTGTTATCACATCAAGTTACAGAGCTAAACATTTATGTATTTCCAGTGTCTTTCCTATAAGTGAAATAGCTATTGCTAACCTTCAACATAAAGTTTTAGGTACATCTCAGTCATTCAAGTAAGTGTCTTTTTTTATATTTCTGTTGAGCTCATGGCAGCACAATGGCAAAATGAATAGCTTGATTTGACCATGCTATAAACACACATCAAGGTGTGTTCACCCAACCCAGGCCTCACTGCAACCTTTCCTTGACATAATTTGACATCTTTTATCTAGACTGAACAAGCTAGAGATGTGTCCCGGTTGTCTTCAGAGAGTATTAAACTCTGTTAACATTACTAATATATGGGAAGATGCCTGGTGAATGTAAAGGACTGAAATGTGTCTGCTTTACTTAAGATAATGATTGGATCAGTTAATACAGCTTTGTCTAATCTTAGCATGAATTGGTCCAAGATTTATTAGATCACACAGAAACCCCAATGTATACAAGTTACAGGCTATGTGATTTGAATTTTTGTCATACAAAGACAAAATCATGGAGAGAAAGATGCTCAGGACTATTATATGGGGTGATACTGTTGCAGCTTGTGCATAAGTAGAAGCATCATCTATGGAAGAAGTATCCTCCTATTCGGCCAGTTTCCTGAAGCAGTTACTCTTCAGAGACAACATCCCAGGTGTGCTACCCACTATGCAGTACAGATGCATTACCCAAGACAAGTGGAGTCAAGGCAGTGAGGTCAGGATTGACAAAAGCACTGTCCTGAATGTCTGCATCTACCTTTAGAAGACAGATTGATTACTTCTGTCTGTGAAGTGGATCATTGCACTGGACTAATGGATTGTTTGTATTGAGCCTAAATAGAATCCTTCCTTCTCCACAAAATGTAATGCACGGCAGCCATCTACCAATGCTTTTTCTGTGTGCCTGTAAGTCACGCTATATCTATTGACATTACATTCTGCATTTTTCATTACTTTTTCTGTGAGATATGATTAAGAGACCAGTATTCCTTAAAATAAATACAAAATCATCTTCCATTGACTTCAAGTGAGAAAGCCTGAATATAAGCTGATATTCTCTTTTGTAGATCACAATGGGAATTCTATTTATTAATTGCAGACTGTCCAAAGACACTGCAGTATACCAGTATGCAGTGAGAATGTTCACATTCACAGACACACATACGCTGGTGCACGCTTACACAAACAGCTATGGAGGTTTGTGCGTTTAGAAAGTTGTCATCTTTCCCACTGGGGTTAGGGAAATTTAAATAGAAAGACATTCTTACCAGCTTAATTAAAATTAATGATGCTGCTGTTACTAGGAGATACTTAAGGCTTTGGGTGAATTGAAGGAGAAACATGGCAGAAAATGGCTATCATTAATTACTTGTATAGCGATTATTAGATACCATGAGGAATACCAATTTTATTGTACGTATTTTTAATAAATTCTATTTTTCTCTACACTATTTAAAAATGTGTAGAAGTGGTTCATAAAAAGTAAATTGTCCACGATATGTAATCCATCTCCTTATCTCAGTTTATATTTATAGTAAGTACTACAAGATTTTAGCAATGTCTACTGTCTATTAAGTTAATTTTGCAAAAGGAAAGAACTAGGGTTCTTTATTCCACTTATATTTGCATTTACCCTTTTCAATGTTTCTAAAGCACTGAACTCATTTGCTAGATCCAGTTCAGATTTTACATTGTTTCTACAGTGTAAGGTTTTCTGATACGCTCTTCTAGTATGAATATTTGGATATTATGGAGTGTGCTCTGACACATGCATCATGAAAATGTATGATCACAAATGTTAATATAGGTGTAAGTAATCATATCTGTGAATACTACTCTCTTACATAAAGCATTACAGGAATATCCTAGCCCACAGAAAAAAAAACATGTCACTTAGGATGATAACGATCGTAAAGACTGATGATCAGTTATGTTTCTGGTTAAATGAATAAAGAGATGTGAGTTTTTCTTTTATGTTAAGGGTGACTTCTGGTCAATAGCAAATGTACCTGGGACAAAGAATCGCACCCTGCCTAAACTTTCTTCAGACCATTTTGTCCTTCAGCACTGACTTACCCTCTCACCCCTAGAGGTCCTTCCAAACCAAGGCTGAGGTTGAAAGATCCACAGGGTGACTGTCAACTTTGCCTAGGAAGCTTCTGTGCTATGTCTGTTATGTAAATAAATAGAAGACTTCTGTCTCCTGAACTTGGTAAAAATAACATGAAACTAACTTTAAAGGAAACATTAGCAGAAAAAGCTGTCTGTCCTGAGAAAACAAAACAAGTCTGCGTAAGAATAGGTTTTTAAAAAAGCGTGTTAAAGATAACACTACTTACACAAACTTGTACTGATCCTATTTATTGTTATGTGTGTGTTTTTCTGTACCCTTTAAACACCCGTTAACGTTATGTAGCCACCAAAAAGAAGAAACATCTTTCTCGTCTGGAAAGAAGTCACAGATTCTGTAAAAGTTTCTGTAAAATAGTTCTGAAAATCGTAAGCTGCTGCTGCCTGCTGTGTCGAACCACCTACTGAGCTTAGTTTAGTGGTTGAAATGTGAATGTTTCCCTCAAAACTTTAAATTGTTGGATTTCAGTTTTGGAATCAGTATTGCTCAGATAATCATGCGAATATTTTGCAGAGACCAGCTGCTCTCACTACCGTTGCAAGTTTTGTTAGACTTGCAGAAAATTTCCTGTCATTTCATATGAATGACTCAAATCAGCTTTGAAAGCAGTTGAAAAATCTAAAGGGGTTTTGATATTTATTCTGCTGTTCTGTTTTGGTCAATCCATACCTTCTTTGCACTCATTTTATTCCTACCAATCTTGAATATTTTAATTAAGTCCGGAAGTTAAAGCTAAAGTTTTATTGAGACCTGACTAATTATGGTTCAGAGAGAATAGCAAGTAAGAAGTAAAATATGACCATCTTACATAAAAGACATTTATTTTTATGTGCGATCAGACTTGGTATCGCTTTGCCTGTTTCTTTTGCAGCAATACAATATAAAGAGTTTGTTTTTAAATGGTACCACATAAAATACAAAGTAGTGACAAATATTTAATAGCTATAGCTAAGTCAATATTTCTCTAAAATAATTTCCTGGTTTTCGACTACCACAACACAATTCAGAATTTCATTATTTATCTTTATGGGGTTCACGTGTATATTTAGTAAACATGTAAGTTCAGAACATCATTTGCCAATTGTTTTATTGAGTCACGAGGAGTTATAGAGGTCTTACAGGCAAATTAAGAAACTTCTATGTCTTATGCT